CCGCTGAACTGCTGATCTAGCAGTAGCTTGCAGTGCTGCATTTAACCACTGCGCCACCTTGGGACAAGGGAAAGCAAAGACTTTTTATAGACGTTGGGGATTACAAGATAGGAAAACCTAGGCAGGTCCTTGTTAGTGTACCTTGAGTATTTCTATTGTTGGCAAAGCAGCCCTTTCAGGAGAGAGCTGGGGATGCCTTGTTAAAAGAGATGGAATGTTGAGGTCCTCAGCTGATGGAAGACAGAACCTGGGGTTTTTTCTCAATTACAGTTCCTTTGTAAGAGCTGCCCTTGGGCTGTACCCTAATAAACTGCTTTGAAATGATCTTCGGACTCAGTTGCTTATTGGGAAGGTAAACCGAGGCAAAGCTAGAGACAGATTTGGCTATTAGATGGCATGGGGATTTTGTCTGGGGCAGGCTGTGTCAGTTTAGGTGAAGAGAGGAACTGAAATTAACCCTGACTACATTTAAAAGACAGGCAGAAAAAGGATGCAGTCCCTATTTTAATTGCTACATGTATTTCCTCCACAACATATCTTACACCCGTGATGGCAAACTTATGGCACCCGTGCCAGAGGTGACATGCAGAGCCCTCTCTGTGGGCACGTGTGCTGTCACCGGCTGCTCTTCTGATTTCTGGTGTGCACATGCTAAGAGGAGCTGGCCTGCGCATATGCACGTGCCGGCCTGTCTCTGGATTTCCAGCGCTCTGGCATACGCAAAGACCAGCTGGCTGGCGCGTGCACACACACACCCATTTCGGTTTGGTCACTCGGTGCTGAAAAGGTTCTCCATCACTGTATTACACTATCCTCTGAAATATATGCACTCCTTGATTTGCAAAGGTGTTCTGCCATTTATAAAGCCTAATAGGATTTCAGTCAAAATGAAACCTCTCTTTCACAAACAGATTCAGATTGCCGCAAAACATTTTCCAAAGTCTAATAAATCTAAACTCTTCCATCAATTCCCTAATGCCTCTCTAACTGACCTACATTTGGAACAGGAATACAGTAGCCAGTTCTATATTGGCACTCTGTGCAATCAATAGGAAAACACCATCTTCTCTGTTGGTTCCCCCCCCCCTTTTTTTTTGCTTTAGAAACTGTTTGATCTAAAAGATCGTTTCTATGTAATGCTTCTATAGAGTTTGATGTCCTGACTCCCTCACAGTTGCTAAACATACCTTGACACTTAGTCTTTTCTGGGTAGGATGTCAGTGATAGTCAGAAGTCTCTCCTGATCTTCACTGTAGTCAGAGGTTCCAGATTACTTCTCTTTTCAAAGAATGTTGGCTGGGATCAAGCTGTTGACTAAGAAATGCCACATTATCCACAGCTAATCTCACCTGATCAATCAGTCAGCTGCTGCCATAAGCCTCTCCCTCTCAGGCCATGAGCTCACAAAGTAAGCAAAGACATCCTTCACTCAGCCACATGAAAACCACATAGCCTCACCCAGTTAGCCAACAAGATTTCTAAAATGCAGTGTGTCAGTCCTACAAACATTCCAGCTCCCTTCCAAAACTTCCCTGTTCCAATTTGCTCACTCTTAATCTTAAAAAGTTTAAGGCACTAATTTTGCACAATAGTCCACATTAAAACATTTGGACCCTCTCAGGGTATTCTGGAAACTGCATATGGCCAATTAATTTCCCATTCCAAGTTAAGATGTTATGTGAGCCAAATGAATTATGGTTAATTCTGTAAAGCATGCAAAATAACACAATTATATACTGTATTTCCAATCTTCCACCATTCAGCATTACTGAAAGACTCCAGGTTTCTGTGGTGAAGCATCTCACCTGACATAGAGGAGGGTTCAAGCCCAGTTAGCCTGGAGTCACTGTGCAACTGCAAAAGGTTTAAGAATGACCCCCAGTACGTTCCCTGAGCCATATCTACTTGTGGCGAGGGAAGGTTGCCAGTTTTGGAAGATTCCTGTATTATTGGCAGGAACACAATAATAAAGTAGCTTGAACTCTACATGTGTGGGTGTAGTTGTTCATGCCTGTCAATTTCATAGATTAAACAAGTCTATCTGTTTGGAACCCAAAAATACATCTTCTCCAAAGCAGCACCTGCTCTCCTGGAATTAGACTAAAATCTGAACAGTTTCTATCCTATTGGTATTTTGAAGCACCCTAAGATCCTGGCTCTTTGCTCAAGTCTTTGGCAAAGATGACAGATACCCCCTTTCTTCCTTTTTGCTCCACTCCAAGTGTTGTTGTTTTTTGCATTGTCTTTTATTTTGTGTTGGTTTTAGTTTGTTTGTTGTTGTTTTGCATTTTGTTTAATCTCTAATGTTTTTATTACTGTAAACAAATCAGAGGTTCAAGGTTCAAAGTTCATTTTATTTATATGCCACCCTATTCCCAGCGGGACTCAGGGCGGTGCACAAACCCAAGGGAGGGGAAGGGAAACACAAAGAACTACAACAAAAAATACAAGGGAATTTAAAACAACCAACAGCCACATGATCCGAGAAGGGAGGCGAACTCAGCGACCCCAGGCCTGCCAACACAGCCAGGTTTTAATGGCTTGGCTTTCGGAAGGCCTGGAGAGAGGTTAGGTTAGGTTAGGTTAAGTTTATTTATAGGCCGCCCTTTTCC